GCTTGAAAAAAAACTCTTTCTTTTGAAAACTAGAGATATCTCTCTCAAAGATCGTGCCTTAACAGCAGGCTCCCTACTGACTTCCAAAATCTGGTACATATTCTACATTTTTCCTCCCTTAATACGACAAGTAGATATTATACAATCTCTATTAAACAGATGGGCCAGAGGTGATTCTAAATCTCTCCTCTCTTCCACTATCATTCAACTTTCAAAAAACAAAGGTGGTTGGAATCTTCCTAATATTAAGTCTGCCGTTAAAGCTTGGTCAGCCATGACAACTGCCAAACTTTTTCATGCCAATGAAAATTAGGCCAAACATCAACTTTCCATGATCAGCTCTTTTCAAAGCAACTTCAACAAAATCTGTCTTCAATACAAAAAGAAAGACTGGCCAACAGCCTACCAACCCTTTGTAAAAAATTGGTTTCTGGCAGGTCGACCGAATTTCCTTGCTTCCTCTACCTCACTCATCACCACCAAGTTAAAAAAAGAAATATATCTTAAAAAAGTGTGGCCGGAAGTCAAAAATGTGTTATGGAAAAACCTGGGCATAATTAACCTTCCTCCACAGACTCACATGAACACGTGGAGATGGCATCATAGTGTACTACCCCTGAAGGAGTGGGTCTCCTGATCTTCCTCTATCGACTCTATCTTCTGTTGATAGTGCTCTACATCTCCTCAAACACACCAACACTTTCTTCAAGAATGCTCATTCACCAAGATGATTATACAAGAAATTGTACATTATCTTGATGGACGCATCACCTTTATCTATATCCTAAATTAACATCCTATTAACTTCTCTTTTGCTACTCTCTGGCTCTCCTCCTGGCTTATTAATTACGTTTGGCAGACTACTGCTAGACTTAACCTCAGTATCAAAGAGTCCGAAACTCAAATCATAAAAGCAGCTCTGGACATTCTCCTCAGAGACGCTAAAATTCACCTAGATAGCTCCCGAAATAATAAATTTACCAAACAAATAGACCTACTATGTAAATCACTTGTACCTTAATTCCATATCATGCATTTATTCAATAAACGGATTCTTGCTTCACCCTCCCTTTTTGAGAAAAAAAAAAAAAAAAAAAAAGATATAGAAAGATATGAAAAGATATTAAAAGATATTGAAAGATGTAAAAGAATATTAAAGAATAAGAAAAGATATTTATAATCAATATTTAAGTGTAACTATTTTATCAAAATTAAAAATGATCTTTTACTATATTATTCTACTATATATATAAATATTATATTACAAGTAATAATAAAAATATAGATCTTAAATATAAATAATATATAGAATTAAAAATAGAAACTTAATAATAAATATAATGATATATAATATAAAAATAGAGATATTTATAAAATAAATAAAAATTATAAGAAAATGTAGTTTTGCATAATCAAGAAAAGATTAGAAAATTAAAGAATTTTATATCACTATGATAACAATATTATTAGATTTTGAAAACTATATTTTAAAAAATAAAAATTTATTATAATTATAAATTATATTTCTTTTAAATATATCAAGACATAATATAGCTTTTTTAAGAAATAAGTCTGACAATTAAAAATATTATAAGTTAGTAATTTTAAATAAAATATAAACTTAGTAAAGATAATATAGTTATAAATATACTTTCTTACTAATTATATTTAATTAGTAATAATATTATTATTACTAAGCTTATTAATAAAAAAGAATTAATTAAGAAATATAAGAAAAATAAATATTTTACAGAAATATTAAAGCTTTACAGACTATAATAATATAATATCAAAATAATAGGCAAAGACTAGATATTTTAAATTAATAAAGATTTATTTTATCTGAAAAATACTAATTATATAGTTATTCCAGATAATAAGATATTGAAAATAAAGATTTTATTTGAATTTTATAATATATTAATTACTAAATATATTAAAATAGACAAGATATATATTATTATTTCTTAATAATTTTACTGGTTAAAAATAAATAAAAGTATTTATAAATATATTATCAGTTATAAATCTTATTGATATATTAAAAATAGTAATTAATAATCTTTAGAATTACTTTAATTACTTATTATTTCAGAAAATAAATAAAAACAAGTTATTATAAACTTTATAGTTCAATTATCTATTATTAAGTTTAAATATAATATAATAATAATTTTTATTTTTAAAAAAGTATATTTTATATTAATATATATAATAATAATAGTATTTGATATTATAAAAATATTCTTTAAGAATATATATAGCTTATTTTTAATAATTATTTTAAATAGAGATATTGAGTTTACTAATAAATTCTAAAGTTATTTTTTAAATAACTTAGAATAAAATTAGTAATATTAATAATATTTTACTTATAATTAAATGATTAAATAAAAAGACTTAATAAAACTCTAGAAGAAATTCTTAGAATTTATATAATATATAAATAAGTTTAATAAGATAAAAATTTAGTAGCAGCTGAATTTGCCTATAATAATAGTAAAAATACTTCTATTAAATATATATGATTTTAGTTAAATTATTAATCATCTTATATTCTAATTACTATTCTTTTATCACAGAATAATATTATAATTTCTTAAAAATTCATGAAATATTAGATAAAATATATAAATCAATATAAAAAATATGAAAAATTTATTATTAAAGAACAAGTTCTTTTTTTTACTTGCAATATAGAAATTTAATTAATAAATAAAAAATCATCAAGAAATTTACATTAAAATTTATTAAATTCTTTAAAATTATTAGTAAAATATCTTCTGTTACTTATAAATTACAATTATTAATCAATATAAAATTAGATTTATTATTTTATATTTTATTATTAAAGAAATATAACTTAAATAATAAATTTAAAAGATATATATATATATCATTATTTCAGATAATAAAGAAGAATATGAAATTAAAATATTCTTGATAAAGAATTTATTATCACAAATTCTAATATCTTGTCAAAAAGCTAAAATATCTTCTTTATAATATTATCTAAAAATTTCTTGAAAACTTGAAAAATACTATGAAAAAGATAAAAGTTTTTAAAAATTATATACTTAAATATAATAAGAATATTATATTTTATATAGAGAAGTATGTAATAATTTTGATTAAATTATATTCTTTTTAATTTAGATTTTTATTTTATATTATTTTATATTACTTTTATCTTTTATATTATATTATAAAAATCAATTCACTCTGAATATATAAATAATTATTATTTAATTAATTAATTTAGAATTATATATATTATTATATAAAGAATTATTATGTATTTTCTAATTTTAAATTTAGATTATTATAGTTTATTATTTCTTTATATTTTTACTCATTCTTTTTAATTATTATTTATATTATTATTTATATAATTATTAATTTATTGAATTATAATTTATAGCTTTTTGAAGATAGAAATTAAGTTAATTGATTATGTTATATTTTAGAATTAATAATTTATTTATTTTTTATATTCATTTTATTTTTTATAAATAAGTCACTTCTGTTTTGTAATTTAACTTTAAATTTGAATATTATTTAAATAATAAAATTATAAGTTTTATAAATTAAAACTATTCATATCATATTTTATCTTGTTTATAATTATAATAAATAATCTTATAATTTTTCTAAAGTATTAAAATTTATTAAATTAAGCTGAATTACAAGCTGGATTACTTTTCACTAAATTTTTAATTCATAATTATTTGTAATGCCATAGTTACTCATGATATTTAATAGGAAAGTGCTTCTTTAATAGAAAAATTTTATGGCTCTTTATTATTTTAAGATAGTATTATATAAGCTTGAATCAATAAATATTATCTTATTTTTTTTATGTAAGATATTTAATATATTTATCTTAGTTAATACCAAATTGGTTTGCCAGTACAATTTGACTAAGATCTTTCTGTTTTAAATGGTAGATTTTAGCTTTTTGATTGCTAATTAAGTTCTTTCTCTTTAATTCCTTCTTATTGCCCTTTTACTTCTTCTTTGTCAGCTTTCCACTGATATTGATGATGAGATCTCTGTTATTATCATTAGTATTAATAAAAGGGATGACGATGATGACAGGTTTTCTATTAATGAATTGTTATAAGTAAAAAAGAAAATTGGATGGGAAAATAGATAATTATAACAAAGAAAAGCTAGCTAAAATAGGATGCGCTATGATATAATAAGGAAAAGTCAAATCACTTGCTCATATATATTCTCACAAGAGACTGTGTTAAAGGACATGGGAAAAAAACGAAATTATTTGCAAACACGTGTGTGTAATATTATTGGTTAAATCATATTATGTGCTCGCAATATAATTAGTCTAAATTTTTCACATGATTAATCTTCACTATATCGAGAGACTTTTTTAGAAAAAACTTCACAAGAGTTTACTATATAACTTCACTATGGCAAGTGAAAATTTGATAGTACTGGTTTTGTACCAGAAAATTTCTTCACTATAAGCAAATCTTCACTATATCAAGAGTTCACTATAACGAGAGTGCCTTGTATTCAAAACTATTTGAAGACATCAGTTCGAAAAATTTGGTTTACTGTAATGGTATTTATCGAACCGTTCGATCCCAACTAAATTGCATTACTATACATATACATCTATGATCTAAAAAGATGAACTTGGTTACAATGAGGATACTGTACTATCAATAGCGGGATTTACTGCGATCGTACGATACAAACAGTGCAGTAAAACATTTGGAGATTTTGTAATTAGATTCTCTCACGGATAAAATTAGGTTTGATATATAATTGGGTCATTGTAAGTAACGTTCTTTGGTTGTAATGATAATAATATTGATTTTCTCCTAGATTTGCTTTTACAATATTGCAAATAAATTAAAACTATGTAGATATAAATTCTCAGCAGAAATCTGCATTTCTTACAATGATAACATGTTTGTTTATTATTGTTTCATATTTTAGAATACTTATACTTCTATTACAATTATCATTAACTATTAATTACTTTTTTTGTATTTCTCTGTTAAATCATTCAATCGTACTTCTAAATCGCTTATACGCTTTTCTAAGTATTCAGTGTATTTTTTACATGAATCGCAACATTCTGCAGAGGGCGGCGTATTTGATAAAAATGTTAAATTATCATCAGAAAATACAGATAAAAAATTCGATTCTATGTTTAAAAATTGATTATTTTCGATTGGAGGATTAAAAAATGTAGTATCTATAAAATTAGAGGTTGTGTGAGATTCATCGACTATAAAATTCTCTAATAGCCCATTGTTTATGCTTTCAGAAAATTCAATTTCGTTAGTTTGTGGTGAAATTTGCCAAGAATTTGGATCATGAGCAAATTCACTATGTTGCTTTGACCAATAGGAATAAGAATCTCCTTTCTCGTTGTTTTTATTTACTTTAGTTTCTTGAAATAGCTTTTGTTCAATACAAATTCGTATATATAAATTTCTCGCTTCGGCAGCAATTCTTTCGTATTCTCGGCGAACATTTTCTGGTTCTTTTGACCAATATTCTCTAGTAATCAACGAAAGTTGAGGTTGCGTAATGATTGGATGTATTGTTTTTTGAAGTTCCTTACAGAAAACAGAACGATACGCAATAAAAGCGTTAGGAACTCGAGCATATTTCCCTGTTCTTCGAGTCTTTTCCAGAGCACGATTGATTAAATTTATCGGCACGATATCGGGTGGAAACGAAACCGTTATTTCGATTTTTGGTAACCTTTTATTATTAATTGTATTAGTTTTCATATTCATAGCTATTTTCACTTAACCTAAATATTAACTTTTTCCAAAGTTTCGACCGCTCCTTATATATATTTTTTGTAAAGAAAAAACGCTCCTTATATTTTCTTGTAAAGAAGAAACGGAGTATCTACTCCTTATATTTTTTTGTAAAGAAGAAACGGAGTATGTTTTGACTATTGTTATGAGCAAAAGCAGTTAGCTTCATACTTAGATTTATCAATTATCCGCACGTTGGGGCTAAATTAATGTTTTCTATTCGCAGAATGTGGTTTACTTGAAGTAATTATAAGTAAATAATTAAACGTAAAAGAATGTTTTCGGCTCAAAGTGATCTTGTGCATACAAACATGATTTTGAATCATCCTAAAATAATATCGTTAAATGAATGTAAGAGTGAGCTGATTAATGGCTTTTTGTTAAATTTACTTTTTTGAAACTTTCTAAAAATAGTTACAGTACTTTAAAACATCAGTGTAACTGACGTGATGATCTTTTTTATATAATAATACATGTTCATGTTTTTTCTCGATAGCATTGGCATCTTTTTTTATAGTTGTAATAAATAAAACTTATTGTAAATTGTTGTTTTAATCAACTTATCAATCAAAAGAAAGCTTATATAAATTGTTCTTAAAATCATTATATTAAGGAAATTTATTTATAAAGTTCATAAAAATCCTGTATTAGTAAACAGTGTCTCGTTCGAAAACAGCACACGAGAAGTTTTACGAAAAACATTATAATATCGATTCAATGTACCTAATTCCGATTCTCGTTTTAAAATAAATAATCTAAAGAATAACTAAAAGAACCTAAAAATATTGCTGCCGTTGTCATTTTAAGCGATCAATTTAACTATTTTTTTATTGCCATTGATATGGAACTTCGGAATCTAATAGTTAAACAAATCTGGCATCGGTTTAGCTGAAAATTTGTATGTAGATAATTCTCATCAAGGAGCACAAGTTTAAGTAATATATTTTTAGCCTTTTTTAGTCATTCTTATTGAGTATGGGAATTAGGTACATTTAATCGATGTTAGAAACGTTAGATTTTTTTTGGTAAAATTTTGTGCTCCGTTTTACTGTATGAATTAAATTGTAAGAATCGAATTTATTTATAATTAAAAATATTAATATAAATTTGATCAATATATAATATTATAAAAATAACAATTATAGATACAGTGGCTCCATAATTATGGAATCAGGGATCAATTTTATTAATAAACATATAATATTTCTGAAAGTGTGGTTCTAATTGCACTAATTAAATGTAATTTAATTAGAAAAATTTTTGCAAAAATTACAATTAGAAAAATCTTTCAGAAAATATAAAAAATATATGTTAATTAAAAAATTTATATGAATTATAAACTTTGTTTTTAATACAAAAACATAAGTTTTCTTAAAAAATTATAAACTTTCAATTACTAAACTTTCAAGGGCAATCATAATTAAAAAATGTTATCAAATACTGCAATTAATGTGGTTTAGAAAAGAATATTAATAGTATAATAGAATTGGTTAATAAAAATTGAATTAACTCTAAGTCAAATCCCAAATACACAAAATAAAAAAGCTTAACAATAATTCAAATATTAAGTTTTATTAATAATATTATTCTGTATCGCTTGAACAAATTTTTTGAATATTTAACGAATATTTTAAATAATTTGACTATACACATAATACGATGAATTATTGTTAATCAAATGAACAAAAAAGTTGAAAACTTACCACATTCTAGAAGCCACAAATTTTTACTTTACAAAAAGCTACCAAAGTGCAACGTATAACATTACGCGAAATTGCGTGTGAATTAAAATTGAACTACAGTTTTTATTAATTAAAGAAAGAATATATATAATTCTTGATAAAAATAAGACAAAAAAATGATATAATAAAATATAACAAAAAGAATTGCGAATTTGTGCTGGATTAAATACCTTGGGGTTCTATCCAATATTGTTGCAGAAAAACCGTTCATTTCAAAAGTATTGCAACCGGTGCATTAGATTAGTGTAAAAAATAAGGACAAAACCGCCTACGATTGATAGAAGTCATTTTTCGGACAAAAAAGCGTAGAACTGGAAAACAAGCTCGACAAACAAGTATAGACAAAGGGAAGGTTCAATTTGAATGATTTATTCTAACATATCTTTTTACACCTAATATCAAATTTTATGATTCTCAATATTATGTTGTGAATTAATCTTTTCAGTGTAAACTTTCTATAATCACTTTGCTTGTGCTCTCTGTTTAATCGCATTTTGGCGAATCCTTTATCATCGTAATTCTAATTAACAATATTTCTAAGTACATTTTATTGAGTCACTTCTTTTTGCACGGTCAATCCCAAACTCGTCTCGAATCAGATAGTTTTCGTTAGTAACAGTAATGGCTAATGTATCTTGCCTTTCGAGTGGGAACTACACAAACAGTAACATTAAATTCGTCGATCTCGTTATAATTCCGTAATTCCTCAGTTGGCATGATGAACCCAATTTTGCCTTTTTTGCGTAAAACATGAATTAATTTAACATTATTCAAAAATATTTAATACTATCATTGGTTTTGTAATTTTTTGAGAACAATCATTAATTTGAAAGACAGGTAATGTGTGGTTTAAAGAAAAATAGATAATAAAATTATTTTTTCGTGTCTAATTAAATTGTTTTTGTGTTTAACCAATTGATAGTTTTATTCTTTTTGTAGAACAAAATCAAAGACTTTATTTCTTTTGCCATTATTGATTTTTATCGTTTGGTTGTGAATTTTTATTATTGTTTAAGAATGTTATTTAATTTTGTGTTAAATATCCTTTAATTGTATTAGTGATTTTATTTCTTTTAATTTAAATTTCTTTGGATCTTAACTTTACAATTACACAATCTTCATGAAAAATTGTCATTAGAACCGTGGTGATAGAAATTTCGCGTAAATCATTCGATCTAACTCACAGTCTTTAGTCAATTTAAATTGAGGGTGACACTATTTTCAGCTCATATACATGTAATATATTTGCATTTGCACATACGTAACTATTTACAGTTAAATCTCACTATTATGAAAGTGTTCGGGCGGGCTATTTATTAGTGAAAATTTTATAAAATTCATTATAAAGTCAAACCTCGTTAAACCGGACGTCGTTAAATCGAAGCATTAGTTAAATTCCCAACAAACCGAAGTTTTTTCCTGGAACAGTTATAGTAGATCCCCCTCGATAAACCGAAGCTTTCAAAATTTTTTACTAATAGCATCGACCACTTCGAGAGGATTTAATATATACTGCTCATGAGCTCAAACTTCACTATATCGAGTTCACTATAGTAAGGTTTAACTGTATAACAACAACAATCATCTCGTTTGTTTTACTGTCATTTCAAGGAATTCACATTTTATAAAGTAAACTCAAAGATGGAATCGAATACTCTATATATAATTAATGTTACGATTGTCAAAAAGATTGCTACTTCGATGAGTGTTTAGTTCACATACTCTTCATAATTGTCGTAAATGTACTAAATATCAAAAAGATTAAAACTGCGATAGCTGTTTTATATTATAAGTATATATTGTCTGGAGGAGATAAAAATATCTAATCTATAAAAAAAATGCAACAAAATTAAACAATCAATCCCTTTTAAAAGGTTTACCAACGTTGAATATTTACAAAAGGTATTTATAAAGCATTGTTATACTTTTACAAGTGGAATTTAAAAGAGGTAAATTAAATAATTTTTAAACTGTAAGAACGATACTTTTATGTTTTCTAATAAATTAAGTCGTTGAAAATAGATTCTGGTTGTTCCAAATAAATGTACAGCGTTTTATTTTGAAATAAACTATTGTGGAATAACTAAATTCAGCTACGAATGAATACTCGATAATGGTGGGGTATCAAAAATATGTAATCTATAGAAATGTCAACATTGATATACGGAGATATATAAGCTCCAGCTACAACGAATTGACTTATCTGCGCTCTAGGAAAAATTCACTTTAAGGAACTTGTGGATAATGACTTTACATTTGAATATATTACTGCTATTAACGCATTTATTGCCGATTTTGGCCTTACCGACCCAGTCGATATAAAAAACAATAAATTTTCGAAATAATTTCTTATATGAGTCCAGAGGTATTAAAGTGGAAAGCCATTAAAGCTGCGGATATTTATAGTTTTGAGATCATCATGTACGAGATTATAACAGATGAAACGCCACTCTTTGAACGAAGTCATGATAGAATTCCCAACTATAGCCATCTATAAAGGAGTGCGACCTACGATACCACATAATTTTCCTGGATGGTGCAAATTTATTTTTGAAAATTTGGATCCTATTCCAGAAAACAGACCAATTGCTAAAGGAATTTGAAAATTTTTATTGTATCTATTTACGAAAAAAACTATATCAAAAAACATTGATGGAAACTGAATTCTTTACATTTTCAGTACTAAAGTCTTTTAAAATATCTTAAAATTAGAATTGCTGAAATTAGTAAAACTTGATAAGGAAAAACATTCCCATAAAACTAACAAAATCTCTCAAATGCAGTTTACACCAGTCGAGTGCCTATTTGAAAATCGCTACTGTTAGTTATATTTAATAAAAATGAAATTTCAGAATGATTTATGCCAAATATTTAGGTTTTGCATGTACATTCCAAATGAAGATAAACTTGCATTTGATATTATTTTCTTGGTGAAAAAACCAACTTTGATAAAGAAATTGAGGATATGCCGAGTGACTTGCAAGAAAAACTTGCAATTTATTAAATGAAAAGATGATCAAAGTGATTCAACCTCTTTGTGTTTATGCTCGTATATTTATTAGTTTAATAATTACTCTTATCAAATGGTTTTAATTTATGTATATCTTTTATAGTTTTTGAATGAATCATTAAAAGTTATTACCATTAGTGTTGGCATTTCGAGCATGCGAGTCATCTTTTTAATTAAATCCATTTATAGACAGATGTTTTTATATTCACGCGTCAATTAAATGATCGCTTAATAAAAAATTTCTCCCAAAAACGTGGCCTTTCGGCATTCTAGATTCTTGACATTTATGAATATTATTTAGACTCCAGGATAGCATGGTTAATTTTTCAAAGCCGTGACTCAATTAAAATAGTCATGGGAGCTAAGCGTGTCGTTTTCCTAAACATCTCAAAATTTTCCATGTAATAGCAAGGTCATTGAGAAATGATCGTGATATTCAAAATTCAAACAAAATGTCACACAAATAGAATGCTCTAAAATCAACTTATAAACAAAGGCCCATCCTATAAAAAATAAACAATAGTATTTGAAAGCAAGAGCTTGGTTGAATATTCTACAGAGACCAGTAGTTATTACAGTGACCAGTAGTTATTACATAACACTCTTGTTAATCAGGCAAGAACATTCGTCAAACCGGAAATGGCCTATTTTGATATTGTTTACCGCAGCCTCAGTAAATCAAAAAATCTCAAAGGCAAGCTCATTAAGTTCCTTCGGCTCTTCAATTCAACTCTAAAAATTCTATTTCAATAAATATTGCCTGCTATTCCTAAATATGCAAAAATCACGAGTTCAGAAAAACGTGCAAATAAAATGAATAAACATGCGGAAAGTTTCTTTAAATGCATCGTGTTACGCGAATCTAAAAAGTTTGCGATTATAAAGAGGTCAAATTTCTTACATAATAAATGGTGTGTGATTGCATATAGGCATGACTGTATATTTTTAAACTTGTGTATACATACGTAATACAAAATACATGTATATTGTAACTGTTTAATTTTCCATAATTTATAAGATTAGCTTATATTACATAAAAATTTAACCATACAGAAACGTATTCCCTTTTTCATCATCATTCGAGGACGACATTTGAGTTCCGGAATCATTCTCTAGACTTGCTTCGTCACTCTTCAAAGCCTCTAGTGTATCATCACCTGACATTTCGTTCGCTGAAAAATCAGTCCCCAATGGACCACCAGTGATCATATTGGTATTGTCTTGATCGATACTATTATCTTTAGCAAGTGAATCTTCTGTGGCCGCTTCCGCTGCAAGATCATCGTTATTAGCAAAATCGTTGGCATCATTATTTGAGGATTCGGCTGAATTCATAATCATTCGTTTCGTAATGTGATTTTTAGTGTTTAAAAAAGATGATAAAACAAAGGAGGTAAATAACAACAATAAAATCATAGAAATGAGTGAGTGAGAGAAATTGGATGGCATCTTTATTTGAAGGAAAATTATTTTAGAATAATTGTTTTTTTGTGACACCCGTGTCAAAAGGATTTTTTTTTTAATTTTTTTGTGCAGAGTATTTTTTAACTTTTCGAAGAGGGCAACCTTGTTGATTTATACAATTTTGTGTTAAACTAATCAAATTAATTGTTATTCATAATATGATTGATGATGAAAATAAATAAAGATTGGTTTATCACATGTAGACCGACTTGACAATGTCGGACTAGCAATTACATGTACTTTATATTTGAACCATTATATTTGCAAAAATACAATATATTACTCGGTTTCAAATTAAGTACAGGCTTAATCTTTAAAGTATGTTCCAGTATTGCATCGAGGAAACTAGAGTACCGATCAGAAATAGTAAAATCTGAGACGTTATCGAGTCGAGCGAGTTTTTCGGAAATGATGTATGGCAATAAAATTTAATAGTTTCGTAACTCTTTTGCTTACCTAAACTCTAATTTATTCTAAATTTTGTTTCATATCGAACGTGACGATACTTAGTTTGTTCTTGTGAATACAAATTAAAAATTTAAACAAAAATATATCTGAATAAAACTTCTCAAAAAATTTTAACAGAATTCAAAGTATCAATGAAATGCATGTTCTACGTTAATCTTAATGAATCACAGTTTTGTTTGCTCCGAAACTTTCTTTTGTGTATTTTCCTGTTAAAAATTCATTTACCATAAAACTTGATAGCCTATATGATGCCCCACAATATCTCAAAACTACGAGCAAACTAATTGTAATGCGTCGCATTTGAAGAGCAAAGTACAGATCATTAAAGAAATTGATGAGCTAATGTAATTCTTTGCTTAAACACTCAGGAACATTCTTAAAAACAGTAATAGTAGCGATAATAACTAGAATCAGCATTCAAATTAAACTGATAATTTTAGATTTCTACTACAAAGCAAGCGTTTTTAAATGGAGCAAAATGCTCGAAGGCATCAATGTTTAACTAATTGTTATTACGGATGAATTCTATTAGTTTATTATACACAAAAAATTTCTATTGTACAGTCTACTATATATAATACATAAAAAAATTTTTAATTTTTTTGCTTTTTATGACCACCCTCCCCCGAGCGGTCCTCGAGACCTCTCTTCTGACCAGCAAAAGAGGAAGTCTCGAGGGACTCCCCTCGGTGCGCAAGAAGTTTGCCGATATAATCGACGACAAACTTCTTGATACGCGACCGAAGGGAGTCGGTCACTATGTACTCCCCCTCCTTCTGGCGGCGAAGTTCTTTCTCCACGACCAGGTGGGCCAGCTATTTATAACAAATAATTTTAGGTTAGAATTGTTAACAATAATAATATTAATGAATTTAACAACGAATTTTCTCTCACCCTCCTGGCATGTTTCTTGAACTCCGCCACCGTAAATTCCCCCTTCCAGCGGCTGCAACGATCGACCACCAAACTTTGGAGCTGTTTCAATAAGATAATATATGAAATTAATATTTTTAAAAAGATCTAATAAAAAATTTAATAATTACACGAATAACTTTTTACCTTCGCTTTAAACTCCCCTTCGCTCGTTGCAGCCGCCAGTTCCTCCTTCGCCACTTCTGACACTTGTGGTAGTGAGGTGGGGTCAGTTAGTGACAAAGTTGGCTGTTGTGGTTGAGGTGGTATAGGCAAATTTACTTGCGATGATGATGTTGTTACTTTATTATCAATTACTGCTGCTGTATCCGAGCTTTCACTTTTATTTGGATTTCTTGATTGATGAGGCGCGACTGTTTGTGGAATAGGTTGATATCGATCAGTAGATGTGACTGTTGGTCTATTGTTATTATAATTATTATACGATAGCCGATACGAATCAGTTGAAGATGGTCTATACGAATCATAAAAGTCACGTCTGGATTCATATCTTGGCCTTTGTTCTTGATCATTGTTAGTGTTGTAGTTGTTACGGTAATGATTACGATTATAATGATAAGGAGTGTAATGCGTGTAAGATCTTGGAAAATGATGGCTACGATTGTTGTAATAATTTCTCCTCCGGGATTGTGCTTCTTGCTCCTCTCGTTTTCTTTTTTCTTCTTTTTTTCGTTTCTCTTCCTCTATTTCTTTTGCTTTACGTGCTTCCTCCTCTTCTAAGTACTTTTGTTCTTGCTCGAGTTGCTCTCTCTAATGATAATTTCATGTTCACAAATGTGCAAAGACATAAAGACATAAGTTATGAAATAATTAAAAATGAAGTTAGTTTTTGTTTAAAAAATGTACTTACAGTCTTTTTTGGGCATCTGCATAAAACAGTCAGACTTCCCCATTTTTCTAGGAGCTATAAAATGAAAAATAATTTTTTAGTAAACAAATAGAG